TTTTTATGTCACTAATTTAGCTGATAAGAGGTTATCTGTAGTTCTATTAGGAAAAAGTCTCCTTAGACATGGTGAGAATGATGAAATGAGTTTTGATATTGAAGAGATTCTTCCTTTTATGCCAACCCCGCCCTTATTGGATGTGAAAGATGAAGATGACACATATGATGTTAGAACTGATCACGACGAAGGTTTATGGGAGAACTAAAATATTTTTATAATGGTAATAGAATATAATAGGACTTTTTTGATTTATTTGATTTTATTTTTTATACTTTCATTTTTACATTAATTTAAATTTATTATATTTCTTGTCACTGACTTTATTTATCTTATTTATGTTAGGAAAATTATGGAGAATCCAGTCGCTGACAAAAAAAAATTCTAAAAGAGGTAAAAGAGGGGCCACATGACTTACTAAGTTGGCTCAAATTCATGAAAAAATTCACCTTAATTTTGATGATAATGGCCAACTAATTGATAAGAAAAAAGGAAACATATTTAAAAGTTTTGTGGGTTTGATGGCAAGTAAAAAAATCAGCATCTTGGAGGAAGAGTGGGATATTGTCAATGAAAGTGAAAGAAATGATGTTTGGGAATCTATACTGGTATTTCCTATTGCTATATGTTATATCTATTTTTTTAAATATATGTTGTTATTAAATTCATTATTGATATGTATTATTTTGTAGATTACTTATGACATCAAGGAAACTCCATTTTTAAAAGACAAGTGATTAAAGTATGTTGGGGATCGATAGAAGGATTTTAAATCCAAGCTTACTAGAAAATATTTCTTTCCTAAGAATAACAATGAAAATGATGATAGTGACAATGATGCTAACATAAAAAAACCTTGGAAGAAATATCCATTTATTGATTATGACATGTGAATAAAATTTATTCACAGTAGACACGATCCCAAGTTTTTGGTGAGTAAAGGAAGAATATGACAATTTATTTAATGTCAGTGAAGATTTATTTTTAACAAATTCTTTTCATTATTTGTTAATAGGAAAAAAGTCAAAAAGGTCAAGAGCGTCGAAAGAAAAATCTATACAACCATACTATGTCTCGAGGAGGGTACGCATATATTTATGATATAATGAATCAAGAGAAGTGGGAAGCTAAAAGACAAGCGGTGGGAGTTGATAATATTGAAGACGTTTCTCCTTCATCTCTTGTTAATCGTGCTCAAGCATGGAAGATAGGACGGATGAATAAAAAGGGAGAGTTTATTTCCCCAGAGGCTAGAGAAGTAGCTGAGAAAATTGTAAGTATTTTTACAGTTAATATCTTAATCATATAATTGAAACTTATTATTTACATTAATTTCTACTAGCTTGCATGTTCTAGGATGCTCTTATAGAAGCATCATTCGAGGGGACCTTTGTGTCTACTGGTAGAAAGGACATATTGACCACGGCCTTAGGGAGTGAAGAGCACTTCGGCTGTATTAGGGGGGTTCCAAAAGGTATGGGTATAAGACAATATTTTAGACCTCCACCTTCTAATCTTATACCAATCCAGCAAGTGCAAATGATGATAGCAGAATGCAAGTCAAGCATGATGATGGAAATGCAATCAATGATTAGTAATTTGCAAATGCAACCACAACAAACATCGAATTATGTTGGTGCTACAGAGCCAGTGTGTGATCTTAGTTTATCAGATCAAGGAAAGCTATGCATACTTTATGTAAAGGATCATGGCAAATGAGTAGTTGCATATAAAAAGGTGTATAACCATGCAACTACAGTCACAATCAATAGATACAAGATAACTAAGTAAAGGTGATGGTTGAAGAGGTTATGGATGCTAATGCTCCTGTACTATTTCCTACTAAGGAGATGGAAACAACAGGACAAGCTCAACATAATTTCATTATTTGGTTGAAAAAGCTAGTCCGACAAGTTAATGAAGAGGTATGAAAATGTTATAATTTTTTTTTTTAATTAATAATATAGGTATTTCTAATTTTTATTATATGTTAATTATAGGAACTCTTACAATCAAAAGAATCTTTGGGTTCCAATCCCCAACCGATGCAAGATGACTTGAAATGATTGGCTTCAGTGGTGGTTGACATAAATGAATTTTCAGATGAAATTAACATAATCAAAAAGATTATTAAGAAGCCTATTACTTTTAGAGTTGCTAGAAAAGATATTAGTGACCTCATTATTTTTGAGTGATTGGACTTGTCAATAATTCAAGTTTTTATCATGTAAGTATTTTTTTATTTCTAAATTAATATTTGATATTTTTATTTTATTACTAACATATGTCTAATTATCAAAGCTACCTTCACAAGATATGCACTAAACTCAGTGTTGATGAGAATTATGGGTTCTTATCTCCACTTTTAACCTCCATTGGCAAAGTGAATCAAAGAGCTTCTTATATTGAAAAGACGATGTGTAAGCAAAAGAAGACATGCTAGTTTTTACCAATTATTGAAAGGTATCAAATTTTAAATTCATCATTCAATTTATAAAACTATTTGCTTAATAATGTGATATTAATATAAATTAATATATTGTAGTCATCATTGGATGCTTCCTGTCATTTGCTTGTATGAAAATACTATATACTGGTTTTGTTCACTGAAAAGGAACGTAAACGATGACATGAAGTCTTTGATTGGATTGTAAATTTTTAAATAATTCCATTGTGTTATTAATAATATATATTTAATATTTTCTAAGTATGTATATTTGATAAATAGATCTTTAGCGACATATTGGAAATTAGCGAGAATGGTTGACAAGAAAAAAAAATGAAATCAAGTTTGTACTAATGCAAGTATGTATTTCAAATTTATTCCTTAATTAGAATAAAGATTATAATATTGGTTTAATGAATTTAATTATTTTTGTTTTCTTTATAGTGTCCTCAATAACCAGGAAGTATAGAATGTGGTTATTATGTGATAATTTTTATGTATGAAATCATCACTCAAGGTATTGTTCACTCATTTAATCAGGTAATAATTTATAAATAATGATTTATAATTATGAAGTTTTTCATATACTTGAGTTATTATTCATACATATATTGTTATTGAATTTGTAGCACTTTTAAAGTTTAGAGCCATATTCTAAGCAAGAGTTGAGACATATATGCAATTTATGGTCTAGTTTTTTTTTAGAATTAACAGGATTAGAGTAGAAACTTTCTAGATATTTTGTATTGAAAATGTAAGTTTAGTTCATGTACCAGACATATTTGTATTGGTCTTTGTAGTTGCTGTTTCTTAATTAATGCAGGTTTTGTAAGTAAGGGAATGTATATAAATATAAGTGTATGAGTAAAAAAAAATGTATTTACGGCCACAGTTGTTACACTAACTGTGGTAAAAAGCCATTTATGGTAACAATTGTTAATAGAACTGTGGCCATAAATGAGCTCTAGAATAATTTTTTGCCACAGGTGGTCTCGGACCTATGGCGAAAAATTATATTTTTCACCACTATATTTTTTGCCACAGGTGAGATGGCACTTATGTTGAAAAATATTATATTTTGCCACAGTTTCTTTTGACCTATGGTGAAAAATGTCTATTTACTACCATAAAATTTTTTACTACACAGCATCTTCTATTGTCAAAAATGCATTTTAACTGTGGCGAAAAATAATTTTTGCACTAGTGTTGGTGTATCATTTTCTTAGAAAATTGTCATTTAAAAATAAAAAATAATTAAAAAAGTAAAATGTAAAAAAGAAAGTCAATTGCATTACTTAAGAGTTGTTGTAAATTAAAAGTAAAAAGAAAAATTTAATTAAACTAGCTAGAAAAATAAATAATTATGATTTAATGTATGATTATCTATATTTTTTTATTTATTCTTAGATATTTTTATATTTTTAAAAAGTAAATAACTTAAGAGTTATCATTTTATTTTTTGTTTAATCCAATATTTAACATTTTAAGATATTAATTTTGTTGAATTCAGCTAATCTAATTTTTCAATTAAAATCCCAATTCCAATACTGGTAGGGAAGAGGAAGATGAGAAGAAGATCATGACTGAGGTGTTAAAACTTCTATGTTTAATTTTTAGAATATATGAAATATATTTATGTTATGCTATATGATTTTTTCTTTGATAATATCTTGAGACATAAAATGTAATGTAAAAACAAATTAAATCAATGACTTTACTTAAGAGTTATTGTTAATTGAAAGTAAATTCAAAACCATATATAAACTCATAATGTAAACACATAACACAAATTTATATAAATATATAAGCAAGTCTTATGCATTTAGATTTATACATTTAATATACTTTTTTTAATCAAATCAAGATGTTTTGATAAAATTAAAAGTTTAAAAGTCAAACTTAACAGTTAACTAACAGTCATGTATATAGAAATGAAATCTCAAATATACAAAGAAGGTTTGTCTAACTTATATTTTATTTTTAATGGAGAGGTCTGTGTAGTTATATATTAATCATTTCCATTTTGGTAAAATTAAAAGCTTATAAGCCTTTTCTTATTTTTAATAAAAATGCTAAAAGTGATTTATAAACAATAATTAAAAGTCTTATGTGATGCTCCCTCTATCCCTATTTATAATATATTTTTAATTGAATCATGCAAATCAATAAAAATTGGTTATCTAATTAAAAGTATAATAACATTTTAATTTTGCCCATAATTATTGTAAATAAAAAATGAATCTCTGTTTCTAAAGTAAATTAATAAGAGTATATATATTTTTTTCTATTCAATTTCATAAAAGTATAATAATCCATTTATTAAAAAATACTTAGGAACAAAAAAATAAAAAGTTCTAAAAGATTTTTATATGTAGAGACGGAAGGAGTAATTGATAGGACATACACAGAAAGTTTTGAGTGAGGGGGCATGTATGATATATACCTACCCTACCCCTATATATATATATATATGTATGTAAGGGATAGCCGAAGTAATTGAATGAACGCATAGATTTTCTAAAGAATACAGAAGTGGATTTTACTAATTGCCATCAACATCATGCCATTATAGTGCAACCATCTTTATAGCAACATTATCAGGTGCAAGCCAATTAGTGGCTTGATTATATCCCTTCAACCAATACGCACATGATAACATTACCGAAGTAGAAAAACGGACACAAGCACAACAAAAGACTTCAAACATACAACACAAAATATGAATTGCCTTCTACTTTTATATTATATTGGTCAATGTCTTTTTGTGATCCGAATCTTGAGACCATATCTCATTTGAAGCACCATTGAAAGTGTGGGAGAAACAGGATGATCTTCCACCACATGAACTTGATAGTTACACAAGATAGCAGAAGCCATAATCTTCATTTGAATGAAAGACAAGTCCTTACCCAAGCATGTTCTAGGGCCTGCAATGAAAGTACTAAATTTGTATGATGGCATGTGAATAATACCTCCTCTTTTTGAGATCCATCTTTCTGGTTTGAATTCCAAGCAATCTTTTCCCCATATTTCTTCACACCTTCCCATGGCATACAAAGATATCATTATCATAGTAATAGGACTGACCTCATGCCCACTAGGAAGAATATCATGTTTGATCGTTTGCCTAATAACTGAAGGTACGGGAGGGTACAGTCTCAAACCTTCACACAAAGCAGCATGGAGATATACTTGATCTTTCACTTCCTTTTCTTCTTTGATCTCTTCATGAATCTTTGCTTCTACTAAAGGGTGTGTAGCAACAAGCCAAAAGAACCACGTGAGAGCTCAAGTTATGGTATCTCCACCTGCGAAAAGAAGACTAAAAGCGTTGTATCTCATAAGCTTGTCATCCGCTTCATCTTTTCCTTCGTCCCCCCTCATCAAACATGCTAGCAAATCATCGGCTTCCTTCTCATTTCCGTTGATTTTTCGTAGCTTTTCTCTCTTTGATGCTATACTTTCATAGAGGAATCAATCAAACACTTCACATGCTCGGGCCATCTTCATCTCTGGTCCGATTCCAAGCCATCTCTAAAGCTTCCACACGCTTTTAGGTATTGTGTGTCTGTAAAATGTGAACTCTCCCACTTCATCAAAGGCTCTCATGCATGCAACTTCTTGGAAATCTAGTGTGAGGCTTTTTGGATCAAATCCTAAGACTATAGAGCAGACAGCGTCAAAGTTGAAGCGACCAAACACATCTTGCAGATCCAATTCAACTCCTCGCTTCTCGACTTGATCAAGAAGAGGAATCAAACAACTCTCCACCTTCTCTCGAACAATCTTCTCCCAAAACTTCTCGAAGCATTTTGTTTTGAAAACTGAATGCTGAAGTGCCCTGTAGTGTTTCCATGCATCTGATGTTGAATAATACCGGCGGCAAACGTGTGTAACAGCAAACTCCTGACTGGTTGCTTGAGTCGTGCCCAGAAGGACACTGTCCTTAAGAACTATTCCGGCACACCCTCGGACGGCCGGCAGTTCCCCAGGATTAAACAAGCACTTCCTCGGTGAAACGAGGGAACAGAACAACGGAGACCAAACGTAATTACAGACAGATAGATTGGCAGAGGGAGGAAGAGAGAACCGCGAGGACTCAAGAGGCTTCTGTATTTCGCTCTGTCTGAACCCATGGCTATATATAGCCCGAAGGTGGATCGGCTGAACTCAAGGGGGGGCGAATCGGCTGATTTCAACTGCGATTGCCCTGAGTTGGCCTGTCTCATGTACGCGAGGCCACTTCTCTTCCAAGCCCATTTTACTAGCCCACTTCATTCCTTAGTATATATACACTAGGAGAGTCTTTCTTTTAATCAATGTGGGACTTTGACACACACACTTTTGACACACATACAACATCTGAATCTACAGTAAAAATAGAATCACCAAAAGCATCCAGAACCTCGCGAAGGTCATGCCCTTTAATGTAGTTGGCGAAATTCTTGCTCATAATGCGATGTACGTTCATGGGGTCATATGTCACCAAATAGTTCATTCCAGTAAACCAGGGTCCGAGGAAATTACCAGTGCCTCCTTTTCTTTGCAGAACATCAGTTGTGTAGTCATAAGTCTGCCCTAAATTTTTGAGAAATGATGGCAGCATTCCTAATAGAGGCCAATCTGGAAAGAGCAGGTCTCGGCAATATCGGCTTCGATGGAAATGAAAAAACGAGAAAGAGAAATGCCGCAAAACTAGCAATTAGCTGCAGACAACCAAGCATTTTTGGTTTGTATGCAAACGGAGAGCTTTCCTTCTATAGATCATATGATGTGATGTACAAATACAATTGCATATATAGCCAATAAATAGAGAAGGAGAATAATGTTCAAGTAGTGCTCCTATAAGCCAATGCCGTTCAGTCCTGCAGGTTACTGATATTTTGGTTTACATTAATATTGGACAGTGAGGCAGTATTGGACTGTTAGGTTGTACTAGGCCAGCAGAGAAAATAGGGTTGAGGGAAAATGAGGAGAGAGAAAAGGCAAAAAAGAGAGATGTGATTTTCTCTCTATGCTTGATTTTTTTTTTTTTAAACTCTGGCTAGCTCTCATTATGTTTGACTGAGCCAGTGAAAATAAGAAAAAGGTTGTTAACTCAAATAGTTAATAATAACTTTATCATTTATAAACAAATTTTTATATATACATAATAAAATTTAATATTTTAACATATTATTTATATAATTTTTCTTATATATCCTAATGATATAAAAATATAATTGTAAATTATTTTATCTAATTTTAAATTTTATGCTTAGAATTATTAAACATACAATAATCTAAAAATTTTAAACTACAATCAAAATATATGGAGGGAGGCATATATATAGAGGCGGGAAACCAAAAAAAAAAAAAAAATTGTCGATAAATTTGAAAGTGGGGTTTTCCATTCAAAAACTTCCCTTTTTTGAAAGAAAAGTTTAGCAAAATTATTTGAGTCCTACGTTTTTTTTAATTCATTTCTCTCTCTTCCCCCTTCATGTTCCTTTCCCTCATTTTTCTTTCTGCCTGCTTTTCTTTCTTGCCAAATCAAAGCATTAGTTTCTTTCCATTTTCTTTCTTTCTTTTTTTTTTGCAGGCATTTAATTTGGTTATAACATCGATGGTTGACATTTTACACATTTTGAAGAAAAAAAGACTTTTAAAAACTTTCCAATTAATTTAGTTGCAGTCAAAAGCAAATCAACAATTGGACCAGAGAAAAAGTGGTTGCATTGTAAGGATGCAGTTGAACAAATGGAGCGAGTTCAAATTGATGTAACATAAACCTATTAGTTTGATAGCACCATGCAGAACAACAAAAGTTCACAACCCACCTAATTGACACTAACATGTAAAATCTCCTTGTACTTCATTAGAACCCTATAGTAACAACAAAGTGTGTGTTAAACTAATAGTAGAAGTACAGACTATAACAGTTAAGAAGTTGTGACCTTTTAAATAGGAGCTTCCCAATCCATGTATACCATGAAGTTATAAAGGTTGTATATAATCCATGTATACCTATTTTGTTATCCATGAAACCTACTTTTTATACTTACAAAGAAAAAAAATTTTAGAATTTTAGAAAAAGACTATATATAATCCAAAGTGCACCAAAAAGACTAAATAAACCCAACAGATACTCTGTTGGTGTTGAATGGACAAGGACCATCGCAATGACTTGGCTAAATCGCACTCCAAAATCATGTGAATGTAAAATAATATAAATGTAAGGAAAATGCCCAATATATAGGTCAATTTAATTTGTTAAGACAATTTTTTTTTTGTTGGGTATCATGGACCAATTCATGGAGATATATAGTCTTTGCTTATGTTGCTATATTTTAATAATTTTGGACCATTTATATTTTATCTAAATGATCCTGATTTCACAATATATTTTTTACATTTTAAATCTTTTTTAATCTAGGAATTTTGGCGGAGCATTCCAAGTCAATCTATATGATGTCTTGATCATTGCAATACATTCCTTCCATTTTTATTTGTAGGGGAAACTATTATTTTTTACTTTTTTTTATATAAACAAAATCATATATTTCAATAAACATTTATTACACATTTTCTAAATCATCTCTCATAATTTACATTAATAAAAAATATTTAATTAATGCTTTTGTTAATTAACATAAGATATTTTAATCTAATTGTTTTATCTTCAGACATAGTTATTATGGCTAATCAACTTTCTTAAACTGTGTGATGCAGTTTTTTTCTTTTATATATAGAAATGGAGAGAGTATCACTACAAAAAAATTGACTTTCAGCGGCGACAAATGTCGCCACTGAAAGTCAAAAAGTCACCGTTGAAAGTTTTTAGCGGCGACAAAAAGTCGCCACAATATCACCGCGAGAGCTTCTGTCGCTGATTCAATCTGCGGTGATAAAAAAAGTCACTGCTGAAAGTTGAGAATCTGTGGCGACATTTGTCTCCACCGAAAGTCAAAAAGTCACCACTGAAAGTTTTTAGCAGCGATAAAAAGTCACCACAATGTCGCTGCGAGAGCTCTTGTCGCTGATTCAATTTGCGAAGATAATAAAAGTAGCCGCTAAAAGTTGAAAATCAGCGACGACAATTGTCGCAGCAGAAACCACGCATCAGTGGTGACTATTTCTGTCGCCGCTGAATGTTAAGTATCAGTGGTGATAGTTATCGTTGCTGAAGCTACTAAAAAGTTGTCGCTAAAAAGTAATATTGGTTTACACACATGGCACCACATCACTATCCATGTGGCGCTCCACCTCACGCCACATACCGCTCTCACCTCACGCCATGTGGCACCATGTCACCCTCCACGTAAGGCCCCACCTCGCACCACGTGTCGCCATGTTATCTTCCACGTGTTGCCCTCACCTCACGCCATGTGGCACCATGTCACTCTCCATGTGTCACCCTTCACCTCACACCACGTGGCCCCATGTCACTCTCTATGTGTCGCTCTCACCACACGCCACGTATCATCATGTCATCAATTTATATTTTCATTTTAAAAGTTGTCTCCTCCAAGATTTGAACCCATGACCTCCTCCTGTTGTGTCCAACCATTTTGCCATTAAGCTGGAATGAACCTGTAGTCTATTATTGCATAATTAAATACACACACACACACATTATTAAACTATACAAACACACATATATATTAAATAATAAATATCGTAAAATATCATTACTATCCTTAAATACTTCAATTTAATTCTTTCAATTTATAAAATTATAAATTATATTATCTATTTTGTTTAAAGTAAACTATAAATATAATTAATACAATATAATTTGTATTATTTATTTTAATTTTTTTACTTCTTGAGATTGTTATATTATTTATTTTAATATTCATATTTATAATTATAATATAAAAATATCTAAGAATAAATAGTAAAAATATTGATGATTATACATTAGTAAAAAAAATTATAAAAATGCAGACAATGAACGACGACACTAAAAAGTCACCGCTGAAAGTCGACTTTCAGTGGCGACTTGTATGTTGTCGCTAAAACTTGCAACATAATTTTTTTAAAAGAAATAAAAAAAATGCTGACAATCGACTTTCAGCGGCGACTTTAAAGTGTCACTGCTGAAACTTGCAACATAATTTTTTTTAAAAGAAATAAAAAAAATGCTGACAATCAGCAGCGACACTAAAAAGTCATAACTGAAATTCGACTTTCAGCGGCGACTTGTTTGTCACCATTGAAACTTGCAACATAATTTTTTTAAAAGAAATAAAAAAATGTTGGCAATCAGCGGCGATACTAAAAAGTTGCCGTTGAAAGTTGACTTTCAGTGGCGACTTTTTAGTGTCGCCGCTGAAACTTGCAACATAATTTTTTTAAAAAAAATTATAAAAATGGCCAAATCTTTCACATTTATAACAAACTATTTCTATTTTATATTTTTTAAAATTATCTTTTCTAAAGGTTTTATAATATTAATCATTTGTCCATATGTTAAAATAGAAATTTATTGTTCTTCGTTATAACTACTAAAATAATAGCAGAAGAAAATATAGAAAATGAAATAGATAACACCCCTTTTGAAATAAATCAACAAAGATACATGAACATAATATCACATATAACTTATAAAAAAATGATATTGCCAAGTAAATTTAGTAACAAATAGAGAATATTCAAGAAATATGATATTCAAAAATCCTGTGAAAGAATAGGAAAGTTAGGTAGTGGTGTTCCTATTAAGCCTAGGAAAAACAATATCAATAGAAAATAAAACTTGTAGAAATAGAAATATGAGATGGTTTGATAAGATATTAGGATCTAAGTCAAAAAAGAAGAATAAGGTAAGTCTTAAGAGTCTTAGTCTATAGCCAAATAGGAATAGTGAACCTGAAAGAAAAGTAAAAGTGGTAGAAATAAAAAAATACATTATAAAAGAATTGAAGAACAAATAGAAATCTCAAAAATAAAAAATAAATTAAATTAAATAAGAGAAAATTTTGAAAGAGATATTTGTGTAGAATATCCAAATTCTTTTTTAAATAGAAAAAGATACAAGAAATTATGGGTGAAAAACAAATAGGACAAAAGAAGAAAAAGAAAAAGGCAAAAGAAAAACAAGAGTTGAATCTTGTCAAAAAAATAATTTAAGCACAAAAAAAAGGTAATTAAGTGAAGCAAATCAAAAGAGCTAATTTAACCATGATTTTTCTAAACTTCTATAAAATCAGAAGACTTTTGATTTTGTAGGCATTGAGTTAAATAGCCCCTTCTCTATCTCTTAATATAATCCTCTCTCCACTTGTAATATTACAAGATATGTATGTGTATCTATGCATGCATGCATACATACATACATAAAACTCGGTTAAATAAATGGAAATGAAAATAAATTAAAATTTAAATAAAAAGAACATCATGAAATTGGTAAAACAAAAATATATTTTTTTCCTATAAAAAATACTTTAATCAAATTTTGAAAACACAAAAAAATGCTGACAATCAACGGTGATACTAAAAAGTCACCTCTGAAAGTTGACTTTCAGCAGTGACTTGTATGTCGCCGTTGAAACTTGCAACATAATTTTTTTAAAAAAAATAAAAAAATATCGACAATCAGCAATGACACTAAAAAGTCACCGCTGAAAGTTGAGTATGTCACCGTTGAAACTTGCAACATAATTTTTTTTAAAAAAATAAAAAAATGCTGACAATCAGCTTTCAATGGCGACTTTTTAGTGTCGTCGCTGAAACTTGTAATATGATTTTTTTAAAAAAATATAACGT